ATGGTTGGGTTGGACTCAGTGGTCTTTTCCAACCTAAATGATGCTCTGATTCTGTTCCCACGGCCTGCCCAGTCAGTTCCTGCTGCAGCATCACCCAAACTGCACAGGCGGTTTGCAACAGAGGAACAGATCTATTTAAGAGAGTTTGGAGATGTTGTGTAGGTATTTCAAGATTATCAATAACCACAGATCCAGGAGCTGGCTGGGCAGGACTGGGGCGTGAAAGCTTGGGGAGTCTCTCCTGCTCCAGCTGAAGATGCTGCTACGAGGACCTTTGCAACTCGTAGGATCTGATCAGAGGATCTGATCCTCCACCCGCGTGCTGCCTCATGCAACCATCCCGATAAACTGGCTTTTGTCTGCAAGAGCAAACCCTGCTCCCTGCTCCTCTGTGAGCGTGGTGGGTTGAGCCCGGCTGGACGCCAGGCATCCACCAAAGCCGCTCCATCGCTCCGCAACTGGACAGGGCAGAGAAAAAATATAACAAAGGTTCATGAGATAAGGTACGGGACAGATGACCCCCCGAGCCCCGGCGGGTGGGTGGGGCCGGGGGAAGGTTGGGGATGGCTCCCAGGGCCGCCCCGCCCCGGATCCGGAGCCCGCGGGCCCGTTTCCCGTTCCCGGGTCGCGGCCATGGCGGCGGCGGCGGCCGCTGCTCCCGGGGGGGACGCGGAGCGGGAGTGGCGGGACCAGCCGGGCCTGGAGGCGGCCGAGCGGTGAGCGGGGCCCCGGGGCAGCGGGGAGGGGGGCAAGCCCTGCCCGCGGGGGTCTCACCTGGGGGACCAGCGGGAAGTAAAAGTCCTGATCCACGTGGGAGGCTGAGGGAAGGCCTGGCCCGCTCCCCGCCCTGCCCAGGGGGGATGCGGCACAACCTGCGTGCCCTCGGGATGGGCCCTCGCGGAGAAGGGGTTGGATTCCAGCAGTCTCCTGGGTTCGTGGCTGCGTTTGGGATGCAAACCCCCCCCACACACACCCCTCTCCCGGGGTGTTGGTGCATCGCTTATGGCTTGGCGTCTCTTCTCCCCCGTAGGTCTATGTTTGTGCACAAGGATGTGTCTTCTACCAAAATCTACGTCCTGCAGCCGTGGATTGTCAGCCTCTTGTTGAAGGACGACCGGCTGGGTGACCATGAGAATTTCCTGGCTGGGCAGGTGGTGCAGGTGGGTACCAAGAGGGACTGTCCCAAACTGCTCCTACAGCCCCTGAAATCTAAATTCATGCGAAGTGCTCAGGGGTTCCCAACTTGGTGGCTGTGGATGTGCGACCTTTCCTCCTCAATGCCCCTTATTTTAATTTTTCTTTTTTTTTTTTTTTTTTTTTGAGGAGGATCTTTGCTTTGCCCACCTCTGGCAGCTTTGACTGATTTTTCGCCTGTGGTAGGTGTGCCCTGCTCTTGTCCAAGATGTGTGTGGGTCTCAGAGGCCATCTCTCCTAGGCTTACACTTGCAGGCTGCCTTGTCTTCCTCCTTTGTCCACTTTGCATCCTACCCACAAAACCTGCTCCTGAAAGCTTTAGTCAGGGGACTCTGGGATGTCTGAGGTTTGATTAGAAGGAGGAAGGAAGCAGGAGGAACACAACTGAGTGGTGTCAGTGCTGGTGTGGGCTTGGAAGGTTTGAATGAAGATGCTGTGAGACAACCGGATGCACAAGCAGATGCTGAGTGGGCCTTGTGATGGGTTACTGATGAGTGCTGGAGAAACCCAGCTACAGTGTTCTGGTTTGTGGTTCCCCCACAGCCTTTTTGGGTGCTATAACAGCATCCCACCCTGGACATTATTGTTGGCCACCTCCTGACGTCTTTTGGGGAAGGAGATGTTTGAGGGAGCTCACGTATCTCCTCACTAACAGGGGCGGGAAGGAAAAGGATGGGCATTGTGATTTAAATAGGAGGAGAGATGAGATGGGGAGAAATAAGCAACAGCGAGAGAGAGCCAACTCTGTGGTCCTGTTCCTCATTCCATCTGAAGACATGGAGGTGGTGAAATCACTGTTTCCCTCTCCTAAGTCCTCTCTCCCAAGCTGGAGATCTCTTGTGCCTGGGCTGATGAAGTCACCAGTGAATGAGGGAATCCCCTCTCAGCCAAGGTCTCAGGGGTTAATGGGGAGAGTTCCCTCAGTGTGACCACTCTCCGGCCTGTCCCCACACCCTGGATAACAGTTGGACCCTGGGCTCCAGCCGTGCCTTCCACCATCTGTTTCAAAACTATACCTCCCAAACCTACCCTCTTCCTCAGTTTTTTTTTTACCCATTCCTGAGAGCAGCCCTGCCCGCTGCTGGCACTGGTGCTGCCCTGAAGCGTGGGCTGAGCCCACTCCACCTCTGCTGCCCACCAGGACTTGCCCATAGCGACAACCACACCGTGTGTCTGAGATCACTGACCAGACGCTTCCTGAACTCTGCCAGGCTTGGTGCCGTGACAGCTTTCCCGGGAAGCCTTCTCCAGGCCTATAAATGGATTTCTCCTCCTCCCCAATCTCTTTGACAGGTCCTGAGCGACTCAGCTGCTCCTGGCCGGCCTGGGGTCTTCGGGGGTGTTTCCCTGCAGGTCACCGATGGATCCCACTACATCCGCGTGGTCGTTTCCCCCGACTCTCTGCAGATAGAGGACAAGTGGGTTCCACCATGACTCACCTGTGGCTGGGACGGCGGTTCTCCACAGCTGCTAGTGGGGCTCCTGCCTGATCTTGTTTCAGGTTGTGTTAAGCTAAAGCAATCCGAGGGTGGGGAGTCGGTATGAAAGAGCTGCTAAGGAGCTGCTAGGAGAAGAAAGCTCCATCTCCCCTTGCTGGGATGGGCAGGGGGCCGTGGCAGAAGCTGTGATACCATTAGAAAGGACTGAAGAGCCCCTGGGGTTTGTGAAAGGAGCCAGAGCATTAACCCTGGGCTGCTCCTTCAGTGCTTTCCTCCATTTCCCCATTTGGACACCCTTAAACTGGTGGGGTGCAGGTAGCAGAGCCAAGGATAAGCAGCAGGAAGGAGCTACTCTTAGGCAGGCATTATTAAGGAATAAGAAGCCCTTGGTCCCTGCTGCTCATGCCTAGACGCGTTCCAGCATGCCCCAGTGTGGTTGGCAGAGCTGTTGGGGGAGCCCCACTGTGAGTCTGGGGAGGTCCAGCTCCCTTCTTCATCTCTCCAAGGTGTTTCTGCTCTGCTCCTTTTCCAGTTCCCACATGCGTGCCAGGGCTGGCGGCCTCACTTGCAGAATTATCGTCCTGCAGAAGTACAGAGTGTGTTTTCAGGAGGAGGCCAGGCTGGTAAGTGCTCTGAGGAGTGGAAGAGGCCTGTTCCTTCACCTTGCTGTGCTTGCCTGCTTCCAGCTGCTCCCAGGAGCTGAAAGCAGATGGTAGGTGGGCGGCCTTTCACCTTCATCTGCAGCTCCTGGGAGGTCTGTGGCAGCTGGGATGAGCTGGGGCTGGGATGAGCCCTGCCTGGGGATGGGGTGTGTCATCTCCCCTGGGGCCACCTTGCTGTCACTGTTGGGCAGCGGCAGAAGATCTGTGAGGGCTGGTGGCAGAGCTGCCTGCTGTCCCCTCAGGGGTTCAGAGGTGTCCCCACAGCCTCCCCTGGGCTGGCCCATCCTGGGTCTTGAGGAGCTGACACAGGAGGGTACAAACCCCCCGTTTAAGGGGGTTGTCCTTTGTGTGGGGACCCTCACTGAGGCTGGAGGGTTGGTGGCAGAGCTGGGGTGGCTGTGTGGGTGCTGACTGGCCCTGGGGCAGAGGTGGGACTGCAGAAGTGCCTTGCAGGGTCTCTTCCCCCCACAGGAGGACTGCGAGTTTTACCTCAAGGCCCAGGAGTTCATCGTGCTGCCCATCCAGAGGCAGAGGATAGAATCATCCGACGGGTAAGGCCCGTGGGGTGGGGGTGTGTGTGTGTGTGTGGGGGGGGCTCTTCTCAGGGGGGCTGCCTCGTCTTCCCAGAGCAGCACTGACCCCAGGAGTCCTGGTGTGACCTGGTTGTGGTGGGGAACCTTTTGAAAGAGGGATTGTCCCCACGGTGAGGGAGAAGGAAGATGGGGATTTGGAGAGGATCAGTAACTGGCTTCTCTCTTGCTGCAGGAACCAGGAGCCTTCTGTGATGAAGAAGATGAAGGAGCTGTGGCTGTAAGTGTGGGGCTGAGAGATGTATCCAGGCGCCCTGATGAAAGCACACAGGCTTGGGCTTGGGGTTAGGGCAGTCTGGCAAGGGTTGTGGCAGCTCCTGATTCACCTGTGACCCCCTGCCCCAGACTGTGACAGAGCTGAGTAAAAATGAGATCCTGGTGACACAGAGGGCTCTTCCTCCCCAGCCCCTTCCTCTGAGCTGAGAGGAAACACCCATGGGGAGCTTGTTCCTGCCAGTGGTGGGCAGCACAGCTGGGTGGGTGAGCCCTGCACAGCTCATCCCTCCCTCCAGCCTTGGAGACCCAACTCTGCAGATCCTCGGGGCCCTCCATCAGTCCATCTCCAGGAGTGAGGCTCCCTGATGTTTATCCCTGGGATGCTGAACAGAAGCCAGTGGCCAGATCCAGCACCCAGTGGGGGATCCACAACTTTCACAAGCCTCTTCTGCCAAGCCAAGGTGCTTGATTTGTGACTGAGAGCTGCACGTGACCCGTCCCTAACCTGGCTTTGTCTTCTCCTTGGTCATTACAGGAAGAATCCTGGTGTGAGGAACGCTCCCAGCTCAGGTAAAGAGTTGTGGGGGACACACGATGCTCTGGCTGCCTGGTAGAGTCCCTGGGTTTCCTCAGCTTGGTGTGTGTTAGGCAGAGGTAGCACAGGTATGGCCAGGCCTCACTAGGGTATGTTGCTAAGCCCAAAGCAGGATGAGGTAGTGCTGACAGCTGAAGCAGCACGGGACATGGCATGCTGTGCTCATGCTGCTGGCCCAGGAAGCGTGGAGAAAGGAAAGAGAGTTTCTAGAGGCAAAGGAAATGCAGAATTTTGGGTGTTTCCACAGATTTCAGTGCACACGACAGTCATGCAGCAGAGTAAAAGCATTTGCAAGGGAGGCTTGCCAGAGTTCAGCTGTCTTCTCCACTGCTGTCTGTGTGTTCTTGCTTCAGACCCCTCCATCTCTCAGCTGATAGATGCCATAGGACACAACCAGCTGGAGACTTTGAAGGAAAATGCTGAGGAATGCTTGGATTTACGGATGCCCCCGGAGAAGCCCGAGACGGCGACGGACGAGGTTCCTGTCACCAAGTGGGAGGCAGAGCGCAAGAAAGAGGTCAGTCTGCCTGCTGAGAGCAGCTGAGACGGGGCTGTGACGGCTCCTGGTGCTCTGGTGGGGTGGGAGAAGGAAGGGGAAGGGCGGTGGGCAGAGCTGGAGGTTTGCTGGGGAGGGAGATGGTGTTTGGCTGGCAGGTACGGGTGGGCTCCTGCACCGGCAGAGGGACTGCCCAGGAAAAACCACATAACGTGTCTCATTTCAGCAAGGTGAGAATGTTTTCATGGTCCCAGTCAACAACCTGCTGATCCCTCCTGAGGAGGAGGAAGCTGCCTGTGATTCTTCCAAGGCAGGTCAGTGCAGTGTCTGCATCTGCAGGGTACCCAGGTGGGCAGTGCAGCGCCCAGCCACACGAAACGAGGGGCTCCCTGGAGTGGGGGAGAACAGGTCCTTTGCTCTGGCTGTGCCACGTGCTGGGATGCGACCAACAGTGCCCCTTTCATTGCAGATACAAACAAAACAGCTCCTGGGAAGAGTAGTGATGACAGGACAGTGCCAGGGGACCCAAGTGTCGTATCCCAAGCCAGCCGTGAGTAGCGGGTCCTGTAGATCCTAGAATGGTTTGTGTTGGAAGGGAAGTTAAAGGCTGTCGAGTTCCAATCCCCTGCTGTGGGCAGGGGCACTAGACCAGGTTGCTCCAAACCCTGTCCAACCTGATCTGGAACACTCCCAGGGATGGGGCAGCCACGGCTGCTCCGGGCAGCCTGTGCCAGGGCCTCCCCACCCTCACAGGGAAGAATTTCTTTTTAATATCTAATCTAACCCTGCCCTCTGTCAGTTTGAAGCCATTCCCTCTTGTCAGAAAGCTTTGCTGCAGAAGTACCTGCAGAAGCTCCATGTAGAGGAGGAGGTGAACAGAGATGCTGTCCTGGATAGTGCAGGGTGTAGGAGAAGGTCTTCCTCCCACTGCCTGCTCTTTGGGCAGTGTCTGCCTCTCCACTGCCTGCTGGCTGAGGTCTTAGAATACACCCCATTTTGGGCTGGAAAGGGTTTCAGAGCTCCTTTCGAGAGCTGTCTCTGTCTGAGACCTTGTTCACAGGGTTGGAAGTGGGCAGCTGCTTTCTTTGCCAAAATCAACCCTCCAGCCTCTTCCTTGCAGATGCTGAGTCACTGGCCTTGTCAGATAGCTTGGAGGGATCCTTGGACAACCCCTGGAACGGGATCCCCCCGTTGTCTTTGACCCCGAGCTCTTCAGATGGTGAGTCCCCATGTCCCAGGGCATCCAGCCTGCCTTGCTGGCAGGAGACAGCTCCTCTCTTCTCACTGAGTGTAGCTCATCCTGGATGCTGGCTTGATTTTCCCTGGCCAAAAGTTAGTGCTCGATCTGCAACCAAGAGCTGCGTGTGCCCCAGCCCTAGCCTGGCTTTGTTCCCGTTGCCCTGTGCCTACATCATTCCAGCTCTGACACTCCAGCCCGCCCTGCCACGCTGGGGCAGGTCCCACCACCAGCCCCCTGCCCAAACTGATGATGTGTTTCCTTTTACCAGAGAAGAACTTTCCACCCGACGCTTCCCTGAAGACCCAGAAAGATGTGGCTGATGACAGCAACACCCCTGACCTGCTAGAACTGTGTAACCAGGACTCTCCCAAGGGATTGCAACAGGGAGAGCCAGTACAGATTTCCTCTCCCTCCCTGCTCTGCTCCTACAGCAGTCCCAGTCCAGTGAAGACCAACACCAGCCAGGCAGCATCAGCTTTGGGGGCAACCTGTGGTGCTGAAGACCCTGAGGGATCAAGGGGCTCTCAGGCCCCCCTACCGACTCTCTCTCCAGATTTCCCTGTCGTGCCCAGCAGCAGATTGCAATCCGTGCCCAGCAGCAGATTGCAATCCGTGCCCGACAAGATGCCTCACGGGGAGCAGGCGGGCCCCAGTGGCACAGCTCTCCCTGCAGATGCGTTGAAACCTTGTCCAGTTCATGCCAGGACACGGGACCAAGCTGCTGGGGGTGGCAAGAGGAAGCTGATGGTAGAAGATGACCAGGAGCTGCTGGCCCCCCGTGGGCAGCAGCGGCCCCAAGGCACCCCAAAGGGCAGGGGGACAGGCAGGGGCAGGAGATCAGAGCTTGTGAGCCCAGGGGGGGCAAAGAAGAGCAGAAAGGAGACGGGCCTGCAGCCTGGGAAGGAGCTTGAGGAAGAGGAGCAAGCATCATCCTCTGCGAGCGGCCCCAGCTCCAGGCCGGAGCAGCGCAGAAGAGCTCTGGAGCCGGTAGATATGAAGCAGCTGAGGGGGTTTTTGGGGCCTAGAGGATCCCTGGGGAGGTTCTCTGTGCCCACACCCCTCATGTCCATTCCCGTATTTTTCCTCACCGGCCCGTGGGGATGGGAAGTTGAAACCAGGTGTCAGTGTAGATGGTGGAGGATCTGGGAGCACTGGGGGAAGTGCAATCATTTAGGCTGGAAAAGACCTTGAGAGATTGAATCTAACTGTTCCCTCAGCACTGCCACGCCCACCACTGAACCGTGGCCTCAGTTGCCACATCCACATGCCTTTTAATCCCCCTAGGGATGGTGAAGATGTGGTTGAGCCCGAGCTGTGTGGGAACTATCAATTTTTGGATACTATCTTCCAAGATACCTGGGTAAAATAAGATCAAAAGAGCAGGAAACAATTGAGGGAGAGACTCCAGAGTTTCCCTAGGGGTATTGGGCTCTCGGGGCTGGGCTATTGGGCTCTCAGGGCTGTGCATCTGGGGCAGAGCCGTCTCACCCTCTCCTTTGCTTTTGCAGTACGTGAGGAAACCAGCCCAGTACCAGTACGAGGCACCGAGCCCCGAGCTCTGCCAGCAGATACAATCTATCAGGTCAGTGCAGCCGTGGACCCGTGGGGCTGTCCCTTGTCCCTGCTGTGGGGTGTGAGCATCACTGCTTGCATCCCTACAGCAAGTTCCCAACCTCTGCCTTACCCCTCATCAGCCGGGTTCCCTCTCACCCCAGCTCCTCCTGTCTGGTTTCACAGGATCTCCCAGGCAATGCTGAAGTGGGCGTGCTGGGTACTGACAGAGGAGGAGGAGGAGGAGGAGGAGGATTCCTGAGCCTACCCCCTTCTTCGTCCTGTCCTTCTTTTACCATATCCACCAAACCACTGGGAAGAACAGCTGGGGGGGATGTGGGGACACCAGGACCCGTGTGCCCAGGAGGACCACTGAGTGGGTTGGCCTGGCTGCAAAGACCCTGGCTCCAGGGGTGCTGGGACATGGCCTGTTGAAAGCCAGCACCCTCAGCGCCAAGAGGGGAAAAAAAAGCATCCATGCAGGAATTTCCTGCATGTGAGCTGGCATCCCTCTCCCACCTTGCCATCCTCTCCAAATGCCTTGGCCCAGTGAGCGGGGACGAGAGGTGACCCAGTGCCACTGTAGCAGCGATGGCAGAGGCCTGACAACCTGATCCCCTCTCTGAAGGTGCCCCAGGAGTTTGGATGTTTTATTGATTAGTTTGGGTAGGGTCCTGCACCGTTTCTTACAAAAAAAATATCCCGCAGGGTTATGCTGTAGAAATTAAAAAATAAAAATTGTATATTTTTTAAATACACGGCTCTTGTATTAAAAAAAAAAAAAGAAAAAAAAAGAAAAAAAAAAGGAAAAAAAAAGAAGAAATAAAAACAGACCAAAACAAGCATCTTGCTTTGTCGTAAACATCTGTGTAAGGAACGCGTTTGGTCCGGAGCGAAGGGCAGCGCAGGAGAAAGCCACTGGGGTGCCGGGATGGCGCTGGTGCCGCCGGGGAGCTGCGGGGCTGGAGCTGCGTGCTGGAATGCTGGGGGGTCGTGGTCCCGCTGATGGAAGCCTGCGTCTCTTGCTGGGGCTGGAGAGAGCGGTACCCCATGGGGCGAGGAGCTGGAGCGGTGAAAGCGCCTTGGGAACACGTCCTAAAAATAGCTGGCTGCCGAAAATCACCGGCTTTCATCCCCCCTGCAGCCCACGGCGGCAGCGGGCACCGCGACACCGCTCGATGCGTCCTGCAGGCTCTGGCACGGTCCCTGGGCATCCTGGGCGATGCTGGCTCGTCCCCGTGGCACAAGTTGGGCGAGGCCATCGTTGGCACATCCACGCCAGCCTGGTGCCCCATCTCTCCGCACCCCAGCTGCCAAGCACCCCGGCACCGTGCACTTGCTTGCAGGGTTTTATCGGGAACAGTGTGGTGACATGCAGGGGCTTCACTGTCCCAGGGCCGGCTCCTCCCGGCCTGGCACCGGGCGTCTTTGGTCTACGGCAGCTGAGTCTTGTGCATTCCCAACAGTTTGTGCCAGGGCTTGCGGCCGCTCGCCGTCAGTGCCTGTGCCAGCCTGCGGCTCCTCCGGCCCGGCACGGGGCCAGTCCTGCGGCGTGGCACCTGGAGAGGTCACAGCTGTGAGCGTGGCGGGACCCTCCGTACCCCAACGCCTGCTTTGGCACCGTGTCTCACCTTCAGCATCTGAGGATGGTCCGGCCTCACCCTCCATCTCTGAGAGGGACTCGTGCTTGGCCCTGTGCCTGAGCACAGGCGACCGCCGCAGGCGCAGGGGAACGGTGCCCACTGGGGAAACACAACCCAGCCCCCTGTTGTGGTGGGGTGCAGCAGCCTGGCTCCTGCCAGAACTGATCTCGTTGCCAAATTCCCCTCGGGAACTTCCCAGCGTGGCCGTGCCATTGCCTCTCACCCCAGCACCACAGGCTGCCACCCACCAGCCGGGACGGGCAGCACCACCACCCACATGGAATGCCACCACCCACCTCTGCTGGTGTTGGATGAGAGGGGAGTTTTGGGGGTCCCACTCCCTCCCCAACTTACTTCCCAGCTCTGCTGGGCCCTCGGGCTCCCTGAGCTGCTCCTCGTGGACGGACAGAGCTCGGCGGCCGGTCCCCCGTGGCGCTGCCAGCCGTGCCATGTGCCGGTTGTCTGGGAAAGTGGGGAGGTGCCGTTGTGGGGGAGCCTGCAGCCCCCCGGCTTCCTCGCAGCCCCCATCAGCCCCCAGAGCTGCTGGCTTGGCTCCCTGCCAAGCCCTCACTTCCCAGGGGCTCCAAGAACAGGCCAGCAGTGGGATGAGGGACCCTCACGGGGCAGCTCATGCATCCCTACCTTCGGTGTCGGGCGGCGCGGGCAGGGTGGGCAGGGGGCTGCCAGCACCCACCTCCCCACCGTGGCTGACCCTCCGCGGCAGCGCCGCTGGCACGTTCCTGCCCAGCCGCGGCAGGCTGCTGCTCCAGCCCTCCCGGCCCCCGGGCTCCAGCAGCCCGCTGGGCTCGGGCAGGATGAAGGAGTGCCGGGGCTGGTCGGAGCTGGTGCCCAGCGGCTCAGCCGGCAGCTGCCTTCCCAGGGCTTTCCAGGCTGGCCGGGGCTCGGCGCTGGGCTCCATCGCAGCGGCCGGGCTGCGGAAGGGTGCGTCTGTGGGGCAGGCAGGAGGGAGCTGTGAGTGTCCAGAAGTGTAAGGCTGGTGCTGGGAACCAGCCTGCAGCCAGCCCAGGGGCTGGGCAGTGGGCTGGGTGTCCATCCACCCTCACCAGGGATGGGCGCCCACAGGCTCAGGGCACCCTCCAGAGGGTGGAACCCTGCCCAGGTGCCTGTGCCCACCAGTCCCTCTTGGCTCAAATCCCCATGCTTGGTGCTAGGAGAGATAACAAAGCCCTCTGCCCTGGGGGCTGCTGTGATCCCCCTGGCACCCACTGGTGACCCACCTGTGGACACGGAGTGTGTGCGGGCCTTCAGAGATGGGGGAGAGTCCGCAGAGCTGTCCACGATGTCCCCTGCAAGCACAAGCCATTGGTGAGCCTGGGTCTGCCCTGTGCCACCAGCACCCAGCACAGGCAGGATGTGGTGGGACCCGCAGCCAAGAGCCCAAGAGGGCCTCATCATGCCCACCCATGGGTGCCCAGCTGGGTGGGGGTCAGGGTGGGGAGGGTGCAGACCCTCACCGTCTGAGCCGGCTTTCTTGATCTCGCTGTCTTTGTTCTGCAAGGGGAAAGAAACCTCGTGAGGGGGATGTCAGGGTGGCAGCACCCGTGGAGTGGTTGCAAGGGGTGGGTGCATGCCGGAGAAGGAGGGACAGACAGACAGACACCATGCAGTGCATAGGAACCCACATATCAGTCCCCTTGCAGAGGGCCAGGTGACAGGGCAGAGGCCGTGGGCAGTGGCAGCACAGAGCTGCCACCCTCCCATCCCATGGACCACCATCTCCACCCACCCCAGGGGTGCAGGATCCATCCTGAAAATGGAGCCACTCCCCACCTGCAGCTTCTTGCTCTCAGCAGCCGGGCCCTTGGTGACGCCGATGCGGTGGAGCATGACCTGCACGCGCTGCTCGAAGGAGCTGGACAGCTCCCCCTCACTCTTCTCCAGGTGCCTCTTCTGCAGGAGAGACACAGCCCTGCCAGGGACACGGACCCGCCACAGCACCCACAGCACCCACCTGCCTGCCTGGGGAGCACCCAGGTCCCCAGCCCCCAGTGTGCCACCGGGAGAGGGTGACACGGACATGACCCAGTGGGGACATCCCCAGCCATAGCTCCGGTGTCCCATCATTCCCCAGTGACCCCACCACCAGCATCCATGGGTGGGAGCAGCGTGCACTGGGAGAGCCCAAGAGCAGCGGTGGCTCGGTGACCGTGACAGTGCTCACCTTGTCATGCCTGACCCCCAGCGCATCCTCGTCCTCCCCGGACAGCAAGATGAGTGACTGGGATTTGCCCTCCCGAGAGTACTTGGGCCGGATCCTTCGGGCAGAGTCGGGGGTCTGGCAGTGCTCGGGCTCTCCCTGGGGCTCGGCGAGTCCCCCCTCCTCTGATTTACTCAGGGGCTTCCCCGCCTCGCCCGCCTTGCTGGGGGCTCGTAAAATGTCACTGAGCATCGAGCGCCTGCTCCTGGGGGCAGCGGGACCACCCTCGGGCTCCTTCTCACACCTCGAGCCCCGGCTGGATTTGGGTTTCTTGAAGGCAAAAAAATTCCCGATTTTCTTCTTGAGGGTGCGGGAGCCGGAGGGAGCCAGAGGGGCTGATCCTGGGCAGGTCTCTGGAGCTGCAGGGCTGGGGAGAGAAGAAGCATTGGGAAAAGTGAGCTCCAGGCTCCTGAGGGACAAGGGATCAGCTTTTTCCCCCCACCCACCTCAAAGGGATGGATCCAGAGACCATCTCACCCTACCTGAGATGGCAGTGTCCTGGCAAGGGCACCCATTCCCAGTGCAGGACAGATCCCACGGCCACATCCTGCACCCCGTGGCTGCTTTCCCCTTCCCCCCCCCCTCCAGCCTTGCCCTGGGCAATGCCCCCAGGGGTGCTGCTTTCCCCAGCATCCCTTTGGCACTGGGACCAGCAGTGTTTGCAGGAGGGGCTGCTGAAATCCCAAGGATGGGTATGTGCCAGGGTGGCGAGCAGGTAAGGGGCCCTGGGACCCCCCCAGGCTTACGGCAGTGCTTCTGTGATGAGCCTCTTGGCAAAGAAGTCCTCCAGCCCCTCGTCCACACGGGTGATGCTCCTGTCCTCACTGTTCTCGCAGGCCACGGGCTGCACCTGGGAGCAACCACGGCTGTGAGCCCAGTGTGGGGCAAAGGTACCCCCAGGCACTAAGAGGTGTCGCCCAGGCCTGCACACCAACAAGTGGGTGCCAGTGCGACAGAGGTGCTGGCGCCCTCCATCTCGTACCCAGCATGAAAGCCAGACCACAGTGTTATCAGCTGAGTCCCAGCTCTAATCCCGCTGCATCCCTTGAGCATTGGGAGGCTCCAGCCAGTCCCAGGCTCCTGCCAGCCCCTCGCCCCCCTGGGTACCACATGTGGGGCTCCCCAGCACAGTGGCTGGGTATGGCACCCTAAACTCGCTCAGGTACACGTGTGTTACACACAGGTGAGGTGGGTCTGACCCTCCTGGGTGGCACACAATGGCAAATCCTGCCAAAGCCCTCCTAGAGCTGGGCCAGGCCTCTGACCCCGCTGGCCCTGTGGGAGAAGCCTTTGGCAGGGATGCTTCCTCTCTTTGAGCTCCAAGGAGGGGACCCCACGCTCCTGGCAGATGGTGGAGCAGGTGACCTGTGGGGGGCCCACATCTGTATCCCTCAGATGCTTCAGCTCCAGCACTGGAGCGTCACCACGGCCTGCATGAAGGCTTCTCATTCCATCCCCATGGCCAAACGGTCTATGCCATGCATGGCCAAGCCTTCCTCCATGGCACCTTCCTCTCCCTGGCATGTGGCACCGCATCAGTGGCTTCCTATCGATGAGAGGGAGGCGCTTCCCCACCGGTGACATTTCAATCCATAATGACTTTTCATTACGGCTGGATTGATGCCGTTCAGGAGCCATTCCAGCCATCTGAGATCTGCTCTCCCTGTCACATCACATCCATCAAAGCCCGTCCTTGCTCGAGCCTTGGCCCACCCTGGATGCCAGGCGTGCCCGTCCCGCTGCGGGGTGACGGTCCCCCGGCCCTGCCTGGCCCTGCCAGCCTCCAGCACCCACCCTGCCCGTGGGACACAGCTCCTGCCTCTCACAGCGCTGATCCCACCGCGATCCAAGGGCAAGCATCGCTGTGGCCATGCAAGCCAGGGCTCTCCAGCAGGTGAAAGGATCCAGCTGCATCACGGTGGCACGGGGACAAGGTGATGCCAGCACGATCCAGCCCCGGGCACAGTGACAGAGCTGGACTTACCACCGACTGCACCCAAAAGTTACTTTTCCTCGGGGAAGGGGGGTGCAAAGGCAGGATCCCCATCCACTCGCCTGTTGGATGGGGGGGGGGGGCAAAGTAAAACCCACCCCGCCACAGCTGGCAGAGCCCCAGCAGCATCACTGGGAGCCGTGGCGGCCACCGGTGCTTCAGGGACGATGGGGTTTGGATGAGGGGGAGCAAACTGAGCGCAGGAGGAGGGAGGCAGCCGGAGCCATTGCCGAACGCATCGCCGGCCCTCTGCGCCCGAACTCTGCGGGTTTTTTTCATTCCTCCCTGCCTCCTTGCCGGCCCCCACCGCTCAGCAGGAAAGGGGATGGATGATTCCCCTCGCGCCTTCCCCCCCACCCCAGCCCCCTTGCCCACCCTTTGGGGCTGCCCCCCTCCGAGGAGGAGGCTCCGGCAGCAGCTGAAATGCGGGATAATAAACCCACCGCGTCTCGGCGCATCTCATTTTCCTGCCTTGCAACAAATACCGACCGCAATAATTCACCCAAGCGGAAAAAAAAAACCAAAACCGTGAAAAACACACCAAATACACCTCCCCTCCCCCTTGCCAGCCGCGCCCCCCCCCTTACATTGGGCTTGCTGGGCGGCTGCTTGTGCCGGCGGTTGGGCCGGGGCCTGGCTTTGGTGCAATGCTCCAGCTTCTCGCCGGCGGTCGGCAGGTCCATAAGGGAGCCGGTGGCGGTGGCAGGCTGCGTGGCGGGGAGCGAGCCGCTCGCAGGCTCAGCATCCTTTGTGGAGGCAGGGCGTGCCGGCGGCGCGGCGGGGCTGAGTGACGGCGGCGCCCGGTGAGCTCGGAGCCCGCTGGCGTCTCGACCCGCCGCCGGCTCCAGCTCCGAGACACCTACGAGAGGCGAGAGGGTCCCTGTTGACGCCCGGCCTCGCCAGGCCTCCCCATCATCATCATTATCATCATCATCATCATCATCGCCGACGCCGTCACCTTCGCCCACGCGTGGAGGGTCAGCGGGGCGCTGCCTCCGCCGCGGGGAGGGGAGCGTGGCCGTGGCCGTGCCCGCCGGGAGCGCGCGTGGCGGCTTTGCGGCGCAGCCCGGGATGGATCCTGCCACCGCTGCTGGAGGTTTGCGTGCGGGGGATGCTGGAGGGGATGCGGGGAGATGCTCAGGCAGGGACAGAGCCAAAACCTGCAGCAGGCAGCAGTGGAACGGAAGGAGCTCTGCCAGTGCTGGCCCGACGAGCAGCACACCCACAAACACACCCATTTTGCCCTGCAGGCACCTTCTCACCCCCCCATGTGCTCCCTGGGATGGGGGTCAGGGTGCTGTGGGGCTCAGGGACACCAGGAGTCACCTGGGGACACTGGGGTGCTGGGCACTGGAGTCTGGCACAAGCTCTGCTTTAGCCAAAGCACTGAAAAGCAGAAGTTGCCCATCAGCTGCTCATTGCCTGTGCCTGTGCCCCCTCTGTGCCCTCCTTCCCTTCCTAGGCACGCAGGGCTCTAGGGGCAACACCAGCAGCAAGGAGAACCTGTCTTCTCCTCAGGTTTGTTGGGTGTGTGGATGGGTGGGTGATGCCCATGCCCAGGGTGGCCCCCTGGGATGGCTGTGGGAGATGCCATGGCTTGCACAGTCACAGATGAATCTCCCACTCCTGCTTGGCTACGTGAGGAAACAGCTCAGGGCATTTACCGCACCGCCCAAGGGCACTGAGCCAGCTGACCTCCCCAAACCAGCACAAGAGCAAGGTCAAGGTGGGCTTTCCCCCCAGATCCCAACCACAGCACTGGGAGAGGCTCCCTGAAGGGTCCAGCTCCTGCTGCCCACAGCCTGTGGCACCACCATGGAGGGCTCTGCCCACCAGCCCCCCAAACGACTGCTGCGAGTCCCCCGCCCCTGCCGTGCCCCAGCGGGGGGACAGTTCCACGGTGACCTTACTTCTCACGCTCGGCGTGGGCCGAATGCTCCTGAAATGCTTGTTTTTCCTCCGCAGGGCCATCTTGTACTGCAGGGAGAGAGGGATGGTGGCAGCTTCAGCGTGGACAGGCTGGCCGTGCTGAGTGGCATCCCGTGGCAGCCGGAGCCAGCCAGGCTTTGCCAGGTGATGGGTGCCACCCCCCCATCACCCCCAGACCCTCAGGAGTGCGCTCCCTGATCTTGTCCCAGCTCCAAAACCCCCCATGACGTTGGATTGAACACCTCCCCATCCAGGACCCTGCAGCACGCGGGATCCCACAGCAACAATAGTGGGAGAGGGTGCAAACAGCCGGGACCGGCTGGGGGCCAACGCAAGGACAAACTCCCGGTGCTGCAGTGCCAGCAGCACGGCCTAGCAGGCTAATGGTCCCGTTTCCCAGCGCTAATTGCCTTAGCGCTGCCCTGGGGGGGTGCTGGGGGGTTCGTGCACCCGGAGAGGCTGCGGCGCTAAGCCCGGCATCATCCGGTAAGGCGGATAAAAGGTGGTTACAGCGCGGGCATCACGCGGCACCGCTGGGTTTGGACCCTACCTCCTCTGCGGCGAGGTCCGGAGGATTCTTGCCCCTCGCCAGCGCGGCGGCATCGTCCTCAGCCGACTCCGGCAGCAGCACCAGGAGGTCGAGCCCCTGCTTGGAGAGGCTCTCTGCCTAAAACCATTAGGAAGCGCTTAAATTATCCCAGGGGCTGAAGCGCGCCTGGCTGCCCTGTGTGCTCCGGGCTGCTCCGCTCCCTACCCACGACTGGGATTTGTGAGCGGATTTAGGCCTGATTAGCCGGCTGCCAGCCCCGGCACAGCTGCCCCCACGCCTGCCCCAGTGCACGAGTGGCCAGGGCCCGGCCTTGCCCTGGCACCCCCCACCACATGGCAGCAGCTCCAGGACTTTGCTTGGGGCGTTAATGTTGCCGTGACCACACCAGGAGGGGATTACCTGGGAGGAAAACCAGCCTGGGTGGGAATCGTCCTGCCTCTCAGGCTGCAGATCCGTGGTCACGGTGTTGGCTGGTGCCTGGGCAATGCTGGGGCGCCCCTATCCTACATCCCAGCCCCACATCCCTGTCCCGCAGGTGCTGGCACCCCTGGCACTCACCAGTTTGCACTGGGCGATGGTCAGGTCTCCCAGCACAGCATCCACGATGCAGTCGGCCGCAGCAGCTGTGATGGACAGCTTGATTTCACTGGGAGCAGAAGGAAGGGTGTCAGGGCCAGCACCCACCCCCTGCAAGCCATGGAGCCAGCCCCCTCCCCAGGGAAAGCCTTGCTGAGGAGATGGATGCTTGGCTGTGGCACCCTGCACGCTGCCAGAGCAGGAATGGCAACAGGTGCTGGCTGGGATGGAGGATGCCAAGGGCATTCCCACCCACACTGATGGTTGGGGGTCCCCTCTGCCAGCCACGGGGATGCACCTGCAGGAACATTATCCCATGGAAACCCCCAGCTTCCCAGGGACACACCCAAACCAGACCCAAGCAGGAAGCAAAGCTACGGCTGGGAAAACACAGCAACAGGACCCAGCACATCACCACCACGACGTGGGGAGAGGGGAAGTTGGTAGGGAGCCCCCAAAATCCTCCTCTGGCCCCATGAGTGAGTGACAGCTGCTGAGCTGGGAGGTAGAATGGCACATCACCCACTTCAGCTTGCTGAAGACATCAGTGACCATCTGGTCCAGGACAGCACTGAGGCTGAGGTGGTCCTGGAGGCAGATCCCCTCTGACATGGCATTGACCAGCTGATCCCTGACCCCGCTCTTCTGCACCACGGCCGGGCACAGGCTGTGCGCCGTGTCCAGCACCGCCTGCATGATCGCCTGCAGTGTGGGGAACAAAGGGCAGTTTTGGTGCCTTTCCTCCTGGATTCACGTGGTTTCCAGGAGGCACCGTCTCCCTCATCCTTGGGCCGAGGCTGGTGAATATCCCGTGCTGCCCACCTGGATCTCCCGGCCACAGGTCTGCGACGCTTCCTCCGTGAGACACTCCAGCTTGTGCTGCAGTTTGCCGTTCTGGTAGGGGGTGTTTCCCGCTTCATACAGGAGGGGGAGGATCTGCCGTGGGAAGAGAGGTGGTATGGATCATCCTGTGCCACTTCATCTTCGCTTCCTGTCCTTCCACGCTCAGCCAGCATCCGTGGCTGTGCCATGGAAGAGCATCACCTGCATCAGCTGGGCACACCCTGAGATCTGGCTTTGCTGGGCCAGGGTGGGGCATCCTAGTCCCTCAGAGTCACTGTGTCCCCCCAGATGGACCCTCAACTGCTCCTCACCACCCACTGACCCTCCCTCCCCTCCCTAAATTCTATCTCCACAAGATTAAGTACCAAGGGAGTGGGTGGGACAGTTGGGAAAAAGGGAAAGAGGTGTTTTGGAGAGAAGTAGAGGAGGAAGAGCTGCAATGGGGAGAGAGAAACAGGACCAAGAGGATCAAAACAGATCTGACAGTGCCAGGAGCTGCCCAGCCAGCATGATGGATTTCATCATGGGCTGATGGAGCACTCTCATCACTGGGGTGGGATGAGGGTGCTCCAGGAAGGACAATCCCTCAGGGATGCAGGGAGGTTTCTCACCAGCGTGGGCATCTCTGGGTTGCAGGGCGTGCCCAAGGCTGGAGCAGACACCTCTCCAAAGGAGGGGTGTGCGAGCATGGGATGCAAAAGACGGTGCACTTGTAACCTCTGCCTCCCCTGGGGGGTTCACACAGTTGTGTGCCTTTGGGGCGAGGGGACTGAGAACGTTTTGGCCCTCGCTCTAGAAGGGGATTCAGAAATGCTCAGCTGTTCTCTAACTTCTGCAGACGCTTGGTAATGTGCATCTGTTGCATCGACATTCTGGCGTTCCCTGACTGCTGGTTAATGATGTCATTAACTAATCAATGCCCTGCTTCGATCCCGAGCTGGGGGGGTGAGCGGAGGGGGTTTCCCCTCAGCGGGGCACTCACGCTGACGGACAGGTTGGCGTTCCTGATGGCCTCCTCCGCACAGGCGATGTCCGCCTCCACCTCCCTGCCCCGGCAGGTGCTGAGGATGTCGACGTGCTTCTGCACGCTCAGGCAGATCTCATTCACCATCTGGAGCACGGAGAGGCTGCGTCATGTGCCGGCGCCAGAGCGGCACTGCCAGTTCCCTTCCCTGCCGCGGCGCTCCCGGAGAAGGGAGTGCCCGGTGGGGGCACAGGCAGGCTACAACCCCCCAGAGCAACCCTGACCAATAACCAGGGGTGCCACGTGGCAGGGACTTGCTTGCAAGAGTGCCCAGACTGCTGGGAACACGCTGCATGGGGTAGCAAGTTATCTCAGCGTTGCGTATGCGTGGAATGCACGGATGCAGCCAGGAGGGTTCCTTGGAGATCTGCTTTCTGCCCCAGCCCCACTCCCCATCACAGAACCGTGGAATGATTTGGGTTGGAAGGGACCTTAAAGGCCATTTAAGTTGCAACCCCACTGCCATGGGCAGGGACACCTTCCACTATCCCAGGTTGCTCCAAGCCCCGTCCAACCTGGCCTGGGACACTTCCAGGGATGGGGCATCTCCCGCCTCTCCAGGTAACCTGTTCCATCCCTCCAGTCTGCTCTGCCCTCCACTCAGGAAAGGCCAAAAGGGGGTCGTGCTGCTGGCAAGAGCTCATACTAGCAAGCCAGAGCCATCCAACCTGTTCAGAGGAGGTGGTGAGGATGCCCTGCTGCAGCCGGAAGGTCTGGGCCGGCAGCGTCTGCCGCAGCTGGTTCCTGGTGAGGCAGGACTGGAGCTGCAGAGGCAAGGGGCCGTGAGCAGTGTGGGTGGCACCCAGCCCTGCACCCCCTCAGGACACGTTCCCCTCACCTTGTGCACGGCCTGCTCCGTTCTCTCGGGGTGGCTGCGATAGGCCTGCGCCACGTCGCTCATCGGCAGCGGCATCGACTTGAGGGTGTAATTCCTGGGAGGCAGCGTGGAGTGAGCGGGTGCTGCTGGACCCAGCGAGGCAGCAACCACCCACCCAGGCTCTCCATGCACTCCTCTTCCTTCAACCCGCCCAGCCAAGCACCAGCCCTGAAGGCAGACAACTTTTGCCCACCTTCCGTGGGCAAGGAGGAGAGGAGCATCACATCAGCACCACCAGCAGATCCCCCCCCTCGCGCCCACTCAGGGCTCTGTGGGTGACATGAGGCTGTGCTGGTTGCTCAGGGAGACCCTGGGGTTGATGATGAAGGTGCCATCACGAAACAGGGGCAGGTTGGTTTGCTGACTGCAAGGCCAGAGCTGTGGACTAAATCCCTTGGGATGTGCATGCAACTGTGTGATGCCTTTGCTGCTTCCAGGGGACAAGAGGCCCTGGGGACCGGTAACAGAGGCTCTTTTGCATGGCAGTAGCAAGCCAGGAGGACCAAGAAGCTCCTTTCTTACCTCTCCAAAGCTTGAGCCACCTCCAGGAGCCCGTGGGCAGTGGTGTTGTTCCTGTCCCAAACCACGGTCCTGCAAAGAGAAGGACATGGGGGAGCCCTGCTGCACCCACACAGCCCTGAGGAGGGTGCCAGCAGCAGTGAGCCCAGGGCTGATCCCAGGCACCAGAAAGCCTGAAAACGGGATTAAAAAACCTGAACTTAAATTTTCAAAACCCAAAGTTGGACTTTGCAAGGAGCTGTAAATTAAGCAGGAGGGAGTGAAAGGCTGGGAGGACAGAGCCAGGCACCATCCTGCTGGCAGGGGCAGAAGTCCCCCAGAGGAACAGCCCTGGGTCATGACACCCTTCCCTGTCCCCTGCAGACACCCCTGCCTTGGTTTTGTGGGCACAACGCGGTGAAAAAATGGCATTTTAGGAATTGATGGCAGAGTGTGTGGGAGGGCAGTGACTGCAAAGGTCTGCCTGCAGCACACCAGGCTGTGCAGGAGCCTGGCAAAGAGCTGGCGAGGGTTGGGGCAGGGACTGAGCTGCTCTCTTGGCCTTCACATGTCCCCCCACCAGCACTTCCACTGACTGCCACGAGCAAAACATACAGGCACAGAGTCTGACCACGCGCCAGGAACGGTCCAGGGCCACATCCACGGGCACCAGGAACCGTGACGAGTCTCCTCTGACGGCACCACCACCCTCACCAGGCGGGAAGGGCACCCCCAGGGCGACATAGACCTGCCACTACCTGAGCCTGGTGTTGATCTGCAGGGCCTTGGCCAGCATCTTGGCCCCCGTGTCCCCCATGGCGTTGCCGCTGATGTCCAGGGCGGTGAGGCTGGTGTTGCTGCCCAGGGCGCTCAGCAGCACGTTGGTCCCCAGTTTGAGGCGCGATTCAGCCACGGAGAGCGACTGGAGAGGCTGGGAAGGGGACAAGGAGGGGGAGAGGTGGTCAGGGCACGTGTCAAGGCGCAGCCTCCATCCCTGTCCAGAAGCCTCTGGGATGGTGCTGTTTTTGGAGACACCAAGTGATGCTGCACCCCACAAAACAGGAGGGCAATGGGTGCTCAGGCAACAGCCTGGATTTAGCTCAGATGCCTGGCAGGCAGCAGGGAGAAAAGAGGGATATTTTTGGGGGGAAAGCTGGGCTGCATCCAGGTTTCACCAAGTGTCTCCTCCGTGCCTTTAGCCAGACACAGGCTCCAGCTTTCCCAGATGAACGGGAACAGCTCCCACTTCTCTGTCTGAGCATCTGCTTCAGACCGAGGAAAATAAAAGCAGAAGGGTTTGAATGGCAGTGGGAGGGAGGAAGGTTTGCTCCCAGTCTGTGCCAGGAGGGATCTGGATGGCACCCTGGCATGGAGGATGCACAGTGGTGGCAGAGGGTGACCAAGAGCACAGATTGGATGGTTGGGGTGGCTGAGGGCAAGCTGGACTTACACAATCCTCCTCCTGGGTGAGCTGGACGATGCGGTGCAAGACATCCAACAGTCCTTCCCTGCAGGAGAGGCGAGGGGGGAGTTACATGTGCACCCCCAGGGCCACAGAGGCAGCCAGCAGAGCTCAGTCCTCCCTCCCCACTCTTGCCTGATGCCACAACCCATCCCTGGGACTGCTGGCATTGTCCCCTCACAGCCCCTGGCTCCACGTTGGGTTGGATCAGCCAGGATGGGCAGGCAATTCCTACCGACCCCTGGGCTTTCCATGGGGGATGAGAGTCAGGGTGGGTGCACGGTGCCAGGATGGCTCCTGGCCTGGGTGCTGCAGCTTTGCACTCACTTGGATTTGATGTTGAAGTTCTTCCCCAGAGAGACGTGGCTGATGGACTTGCTCCTGCCAATGGAGAGCACCAGTGTCACCATGTTGGGGTCAAAGCCTGCAAGAGATGGGGGGACACCCACCAGGATGCTCCAAGCAGTCCACGGAGGTGGCATCAAGGTGGTCCCTCACAGAAGAACTGCAGAGCCACCAAGCTGCCACCGTGGGATGGTGGAGAGATGCTCAGGGAGCTCCTGTCTCCCTCCCTCCCTTCCTGGCTCCCTCAAGGAGACTGAAGATCTGTGCACAGCCAGAGCCCCTGATGAGTGAGGATCCCCAGGGAAGGAGCACCCACTCTGGGCACTCCTGCTATTTGGGGTGCCAGTGCTGTTCTGAGCCAGTGGGGGGCACTTACGGAGATGCAGATGGCACTTACTGTCTGCCATCCCCCAGAGATGTACCCTCCATCACCCACCCACCACCCTGGGCAGCATGGGGGGAGTTCTCACACCCTGCAGGCAGCTGCCTGCACTCCCATCCTCATGGCTGCACCATCCCCAGGGAAATCTGGTGAGATGCAGGAGATGGAGAGACCTTCTCCCAGGCTGGGAGAAAGCAACCTACCATTGTCAGACAAGTCCAGGCTGCTGATGGAGCTGGCATCAGGGATGAGATCCTGGATGACCTGGGCCCCAGCTGATCTCAGCTTGGAAGAAACAGCAAGACATCAGCGCAAGGGAAGGCACCGAGCCCTGCAAACGGGTCAGACAGGGCACAGACCTCCCCTAACTGATGCAGTGGGACCCCCTGGCTGGGCTGGTGGCACCCCTGGGTGCTGGCCCCTCACCTCACAGCTGCTAAGGTCCAGGTGCAGGTCACTGATGTGGCTGTTGTCTGCCAGTCCTTGCAGCAACGCCCTGGAAAAGTCACCAAAACCCCCTGTTGGTGCAAGAAACGGGGGCAGCAGCACATGTTGTGGGGCACCCCAAGGGGCCAGGCAGTGGGAGGGGGATGCTGGAGAAGACATCCTTCCCAGATCTCTGCCTCCCACAGCTCCATCCACCCATCCTCCCCACCAGCACCGAGTCAGGTACCCCCTGGATCATGTTCACCCCAAATCCATTCCCCCTGGGTGGGCTCCCAGCCCAGCCTCACCTCACCACGTCGGCAGGCAGCTTGGTGCCCGCCAGGGAGACGTGCCTGAGGGCACAGGCCTGGCTGAAAAACTCCTTGATGTCAGGGGAGATGGTTTTCACCCTCCTGAAAAGGACGGGCACAGCGTGGCATCATCACCTGCCCCCCAGCACCAGCCACCAGGCCCCCCTCGTGCCACCCCAAGGCCTTACCTGTGGGAGTACAGGTTTTTGGAGAGATCCAGGTGGATGAGGCTGTTGTGGCACCCGTGGACCAGGGCTCCAAAGAGCTGCCAGGGGTGGGCATGCAGGTTGTGTGGAGGAGGACCCCGAGGAGCTGCCACCCCACACACAGCCCCAGGGGGGGTGAGGAGGGGGGACTGAGGGCAGGGTCTCACTGCCAGGACCCCCCTCTGTGGGTACTCACAGCATCCAAAGGGCAGTCCGTGCCAGCCAGGCTGAGGTGGGAGAGGGAGTGGCACTGGCGGAGGAGGCTCTGCAGGTTCTGTGGGCAGAGGGGGCTCAGCAGCTCTGCCCAGGACCCTGAACCCACCCCCCACCCCTCACTCAGCAGCCCTGAAATCCCAGCTCCAGCCTGCCTGGGGAGAGGGACCCACTCACTCGTGGGATACATCCTTGCTCCGGGTGGCATCTCCCACCCTCCCACAGGGAGATGCAGAGGGGTGTCCCCAGGGCATCCTCAGCTGCTCCTGGGCAGTCAGGGGGGTGTCTCAGCAGTGACATTCCCATCCCTGGGGTGCAGGAAGGCTGGGCACAGACCCCAGGATACCAAAGCCATCCAAACCACGCTGGGGACGGATCCCAGGCAGTGTCACCCCGTCACACCAGGGGTACTCACGCTGATGTCATCCCCAGCCAGGGTGCCGGGGTTTCCAGAGAGGTCCAAGTGCTGGAGGGACAATCCAATGGCTTTGTTATCTGCCAGGGCCTTGCACAACGTGCTCATTCCTGCTCGAATAGAGGGGGAGGGATGGATGGCCACAGGTTCCCTGCACTGGGGAGAGCTGTGGAGCAGAGGAAGGGGCATTTCCCTCCAGCTGGGGCAGCAGGGCATCACAGCCACGAAGATGCCCTTTCCAAGCTGTACCTTTGGCTGTGAGCGTCGTCCTGGCCAAGCTGAGGCTCTGCAGACCCTTGGAACTCTTCTCCAGGTGGCGGCTGAAGGCAGCAATCCCTGATGGAAGAGCAGAGAGCCCTGAACTGCTGTGTCAGCACAGGTGGGTGACCATCTCACCCTGAGCCACAGCCCCCAGCACAGGGGGCAGCTGCTGGTGGGATCTGGAGTTGAACATCAGTTTTCACGGGTGAAAACTCGTCCCAGCCCAGAATTTGGGTACCTCTGTCTTCCAGCTGGTTGCCAGAGAGGTTGATGGTGTGCAGGGCAGAGTCGGGATGGCTGCTGAGAGCCTGGGCCATCCTCTGCACAAAGTCGCTGTGGGGAGAAGGGTCACCCATCAGAGCATCCTGGACACCTCCAGGAGACACAGCCAGCCACCCCATAGCCTTATGGGGACAGGTCCTGCCTGCGTGGCAGGGTTGGCTCCACCTGAGGAGCCAAGAACACCTATGAGGGTGGGTGATGTTCACCGGCCTTCCAGGCTGTGGGGGTCTCTGCTCCCAGGGAGAGCCCACGGACCCCCCTGCTCCATGCCCAGGCTGCCAAGCCCCTGCTCATCACTGCCTTGCACCACCTTCACTCACGCTTTCAACCCGCTGTTTTCCAGCACCAGCTCCTCCAGCGTCACCGATTTGCTGAGCATGTAGAGCAGCTGCTCCGAAATCTCCTGGTTCTGGCAGGGGAGAAAAGGAAGCCCTTCTGGAAACCTGGTCCCCTCTGCTGCTCCCAGCACCGCTGCGGCACCGGCACTCACCAGCCTGAAGTCCTTGCAGGAGAGCTTGGTGAACCACAGGTTGAAGGACAAGGCAGCGACGCTCAGAGCCACGTCCCTGCAGGGTGACAGGGATGAGAGAGTCAGGGTCAGCATGAGGCAAGGCTGGTCCCAAATGGGTGCCCCCAAAGCACCCAACCATGAGGTTCCCCAGAACACCCAACCCTGGAGTGCCCCAAAACTCAAGGTTTGCCCCAGCACAGTGCTCAACAGAGCAGGACTGGCCCACGAGTTTAAAGCAACCCACAAACGCAGCTTATCTTCCCCCAGATTATTCCCCCTGGGCAAACCAAAATTACTCAAACCATCTGCATGCTTCTTCTATCTAAACCTCTGGGTTTCAGATTCTTTTTAGTTCTGAGCTCAGACACGGGTTTTGCTCAAGTGGAAACAAGTTTCTCTTTTACTTCCCCGTCCAAAGAAATGTCTAAAACTGCCTCCTTTTTTGGCCAGCTGAACACAGGTCCTCTGCTCCCCAAAACACTCAGCCCAGACTGGTTGTTGCCTCACCCCAGAGCAGAGCCCTTGCTCCATCTTTCTTGGGATGGAGACACAGCTGAGCCCTGCAGGGACAACTCCAGGCACAGCCTGACCTCGTGGCCCCACTGTCAGGTTATAACAAGGTGCTAATAAGGTTACAACAGATATTTGGGGTGGCTGGCAGGGTGCAGTGCCAGGTTTCGAGGGGGTGAGTGGCACCAGCTGCTTTGCATAGGGAAACACCTGACGGCCCCGAGCTGCAAGGAACCACAGTGACGTTGGGTTTCCACCCCTGCAAGCAGCTCACAGGCTGATTTAAGAGTTAAAAATGAACAGAGACTCGGGGTTGCTGCCCTGTGGGACAGGGCTCGTGGTATTTGGTGTGGGGGAGCGTCCTTAGAGCGTGTAAAGTGAATCAATGCATCTAACACGAGCGGAGGAGCGTGCTGGAGCACCCCTGGCAGGGACAGGGAGGATGAGGATGAGGGCTGGTGTGGCACAGGGTACAACAGGCAGCACAGCTGGGGGACTCACCGGCTCTCCAGGTGGCTGAAGTCCAGCAGGTTGAACTCCCGGCAGTCCTGGCTGTGGTAAATGTTGTCCACATCCTTCCCAGAGGGATGGACACATGGATGAGGCTCAGCACCTGGGCCTGGGGATGGCTTAGGTGCCCAGCACTACTGGAGGGAGCTGAGCCCCCCTGGGGACCCTCTTCTGGGGAGTCCCTTGCCTAAACCCCAAGCCTAAAACCTCCCCTGGTGCTCTGGGGGGGCAGGGAACATGTCCCAGCTTGGGGGGACAGACTGGTGGGTCTTGGAGCAATTTGGCAAGGATTGGCCAGAAGAAGGAATGTACCCCAGGTTGGTGGGAGTGAGGATGTGGGGAGAGGTGGGAGGGGATCAGTGTCCCAGAGGGAGAGGGGTCCTGCTATAGCTGAGTCCCAGCAGGGAGCTTCTCCACTACAGACATTCAGCAAGGTGCCAGATTTTCGGGGGCTCTCTTTAGGTCACAACCTGGTCCAAGGCATCTGACCCCCCACCTGCACTTTGATTCCAGCCCACCGAGGAGCAGGGGGCACCTCAGGCCGGGCAAAGCTGCAGTTCCCATCTCGGATACCCCCGGGATGTCCCAGCCCAACCCACTCAAGCCGGGCAAAGCTGCAGTTCCCAGCTCTGGGATGTCCCAGCCCCTGCAGCCCCACGAGGCTGCTGTCCGGAGCAGAGGTACCCACAAACATCCTGCCTCCCTGCCCAGCAGGGGGCCCGGGCTGGAGCAGCTCACCCACTGGATCTCCTCGCGGAAGGCGAAGCCGTTGTAGTCGCACAGCGCAGCGTAGGTCTCCGAAAAACCCCCTGCAAAGAGAAGGCACTCCTGGGGGCACACACACCTTCCCAGGGGAACACGGAGGAGACCTTGGGGGGAGGGCAGGGAACAGGAGAGGGATGGCAGGGACTCTGAAGGGTGGTGAGGGCTCCCCCCTCTCCATCCTCAAGGGGGCCAGAGATCTGCTGTCAGCCCAAAAGCGATGGCCCAGCTCGGAGGGCTGTGTTTGGCTTTGCTGGATCCATGTGGATGCCAGGCAAGGCACATTGCTGTGGTGATAATAGAGGTAATCCTGCTCCAAACCAGGCTACGTGCCCTGTGAAGTGAGAGGGAGCATCCACAGCTGCAGGTCCTCACAGGTGGATCCTGAGCATCCTGGCCCCAGAGCTGTCCTGGGGAACCACATCCCGTCAAACCTGCTCCTGCCCCAGGGGATGGGCTGGGCTGGTGGAGAGCAGACCCCACTAGCGGGGCTCCAGCTGACTGAAGCCACCATGGTGCCCTGCCAGCAGAGCTGGGGTTGATGGATGCAGGGCTGGAATGGTCCCCGAAGTGCTCCAACCCTCCTGGTCCTGCCTGGGGGAGGTTGCAGCAGGACTTACCACAGGGCCCAGGGCTGCTCTGCAGCATTTCCTCCAGCGAGTCCAGGATCTGCTGGATCCTCTCATACAGGCTGGGAGGGGAGTTCTTGAGCAGTGTCCTGGGGAAGGATCAGAGGGATGTGTGGTGGTGGGCTGGGAGAAGAGGACCTCCACCACTTTATGCTTAGCTGTAACCCTTGTGTGGAGGGTGGCCAGAAATATTCAGCCAGGAAGCAGGGTCTGGCCCCTGTCCACGTTTCTTCTGCTAAAACACACTATTGTGCACCCATCCTACTTTTGGGACCTTCTAGTTGAAGGTGTCCCTGCCCGTGGCAGGGGGGTTGGAACCAGATGATCTTCCAACCCAGACTATACCAGAATTCTGTGACCTGGGACTTTCCTGAGCAAAGAGGTTGCTCTGGTACCCACACAACCACCCCTGAGGAGCAGAAGACCCTTACCCAAGGGATGAGTCTGGAAAGACCTTCTTAAGTGACATGGTGACATGGATAACAACTTGCTCCAAATCATCCAGGGACATGAACCGGAAGGCGTAAGATGCTGCATCTGTTTCTATGACAACCTGCGGGGTCCAAAGGATGAGAGATGCCTGAGCAAGCTGGCAGCACAGAGCGTCCCCGAGCCCCCAGACACGACGGTGACAGCCACCAGCTCCTCAGTGCCAACCCAGCCAGAGCAGCGTGAGCGCAGGGAGGGCTGCGAGCACCAGGAACTCGGGATAAAACACGCTCAACAGACTGTAACGTGCCAGAATAAGGCATAAACCTCCCCAGAATTCAAGCTAAGCTGATGCAGAGGCAGCCCAAGGCAGTGGGGTGAGAACAGCCTTGCCTGTGCCTGCAGCAGCCGCAGCTGGAGGGTAGAGGTTTCCTCCCTGAATTTATCTAATCGGGGTTTGAGGCTTTTTTAGCTTTTGGTTCCTACCAGGGAAAAAAAAAAAAAAAAAAAGAGAAAAAAATCCCATGGCAACACGCTCCCTGATTTAATTACACGCTGATTGAGGCGTGGGAGCAAGATGACAATTATCCCCTGGCATCGGGCGAGGACGGCGCTTCCTCCGGTGCCCGGGGCTGCGGAGGCAGGAGAGCGTGGGGCTGCCTGCACATTAACAACCCCTGGGCTCTCCATAACCCAGTCAGATGTCTCACCCCGCCTCCACGCCGAGGTTTCAACCCCCAGCACCCCTCAGTCTCTGCCCAGGTCCTTTAGTTCTCTCCTGGGGCTCAGCCAAGCAGCCTCCCAAGCTGCAGCAACCCTGTTTGGAGGCTGAGGCCACTGTCACTGGTGATGTTTTAACATGCAAAAGCCAGACAGGAGGTTAACAAGGACCAGACAGGAGGTTAACAAGGCCCATAGCCCTGTTTCAGCCAACACATCCAAGCCTGGCCATCCCTTTCCTCTCTCCCATGGTTCCCACGGCTGCATCTGCCCTGAGTGCCTGCCTCTCTCTCTAAGAGGATTAACTGGGTTTAAAACACCGTCCTGCTAAATTTGTCTTCACCTTGGTAAGCCAGCAGCCATTTGTCACCTTGTCCCTGCTGAGCATGGCCAGGTGCTGTTTGCAGCTGCTGGAGGAGGAGAGGTGCACCCAGCACCCCTGGGTGCCTCCCTGCATCTCCAGCCCCGAGGGTGAGTCCCCCAGTGAGGCTTCAATAAGAGGATTTATTTTCAGGTGGAAAAGAGAAAAATACCCAGTGGGGCTCTCAGGGATCATCACTGGTGACCTTCGATGTGCAACGAGGAACCAGAACTCCCCCAGACCCTGTGGTGGGCTCGAGGCCAGGGTTTCCCCGTGGGGCAAGGCGGGCACAAGTTTGGGAGGGTTCCTGGGCTAGTTTTACCTGGGTGTTGGTGCCACTCACCACACTGGGCTCTTGGACTGTCATCTCCCTCACCTCCAGGAAGCTGAAGCTGCTGTGAACCTGTGGGTGAGAAGAGCCAGGATCAGCCCCAGCGCTGATGGATAAGGGGGACCCAAGGGTGCCCCCCCAGCTCCCACCCTTCCCATGCCTCAAACAGTGCCTGGCCGTGCCCTCAGCCTTCACCAGCCCCTCAACCAGACCCCTCCTCATCCTGCTCCTGACCCAGTGGCCCAGGTGACCCCGAGGTCACTCACTCCAGTGCCCCAAGCCTCCCCCAGGGCTGTACCACGGCGTGGGGTCCCCACACTCACCCTCACCGGCAGCACCGCCGGCAGCACGTACGCTCTCCAGGGCGTCAGCACCTAGGCAGGGGGACACTGCTGTGCCAAGGGACAGTGGTGACCCGGGAGCCACCCCTGCCCCTCACTGCAGCCATCAAACAGCTGCCTGGGGAAACCAGGACAGCGGGAACCAGACCGGACTCTGCACATACCAAGATGAAGTCGTCATACTTGGACTTCACCTGCAGCTGGACACTCAGCTCCAGGAGCACCTTCTTTGTCCCCAGGAGGGTGGTGATGCCCTCTGAAAAGACCAATGTCCACATGAAAAGAGGTGGCTGAAGTCACCTTGGTTCTCCTTCCACAGGCCCTGCTGCCCTTGGGGACACTGTCTCTGCATCCCCACCTGAATATACTCCGCTCCATCCACACTTGAAATCACACCCCAGTTGTTCTCTAAACCACACACTTCACCAGCTGTGGGTCTCATTTGCTACTTGAACGATGCACACACTTCCCCATCATCTGCTGAGCACAGGGCTTTGGGGTTGTTGGTTCACACTGTCCTCCCTCACTGGGAGCTGGCACTGAGTGACACGAGGGTCCTGATTTCTCTCCTTTCCTTCCCAAATTTACCACTGGGGAGCCAATAGGCACCCCAAGTCCTTCCTCCCCACGGAGCAGCCAGGGTGGTCTCATGAACCAACCTCCCCATGTCCACAGACCAGTCTCTCCTGTGGTCACTGGTCCAGTGTGGGTGTTGCTCCTGCCTTGAGCGTCACCTCCCCACCTGTCCTGATTCCTGCCTCCCCCAGGGAGAAACAGGACCAGAACCACAGCTGTCCATTGACATGCAAAGCAAACCAGGCTTCCACAACACCACCAAGCCCTGTGGTGGGGTGGCTTGAGCCAAGTGTCCCCCACAGACCCACCCTGGCAGCCCCAGGACCTGAGGCTGCAGGGACGTGGTGACCCAGCTCCTTCCCACCCCACTTCAAGCCTGGGTGGGACTGATGATGCTGAAGGACCCTTGGCTTCTCAATCAGATGATTGAGTCTGGGAGCAGTGGTACTTCAGCCTGGGCTGCAGGCTGTGCCTCCCTGGGGAGCTGCCAGGGACCCCCAAGACACAGAGAGAACCCAAGCCCATGGGAGCGAGGAGCACCAAAAGCTGTACCCACAAACCAGGCAGCCTGAGCCGTGCAGAACCCCATCCTTGAGGAGACAGGTTATCTGAGGATGCTTTTGGTCCAAGCTGGCATCCTCAGGCATTTGAGCTTTTGGGGACAAGAACATCCCCCAGACACCGCTTGGACCCCCCTGAACCTCAGCTGCTGCTGCTGAGGAACCCGAAAGTGGCTCTGCCAACCCCAGCACAGCAAACTGGGGCTGAGCAGGCCCCGTGCTGGCGCCTTCCATGTGGCACGGATGCCCGGGCGGCGGGCGATGCTTACCTTGCAGCTCCGCGGGGATCCCTCCGGGGGCCGCAGCCATGGTGGGGACCGCGGGGTCACCTGCCCGGGGATGCCGCTGTCAGGGCAGCATCCTCGGGCTCCGCGGGAAAGGCACCCTGCTGGGGAGGAAGCGCTGAGGTTACCAACCGGCAGCGCCGCAGCCTCGGTGCCTCCTCCCCCTCCCGGTGCCTCTTCCTGCCCCGTCAGGCGAGATTTACCGCCTGAGCAAGAGAAGAGAAATGAAAGCGACGGTGCCCACGGGCCCACCGGCCCCGCCGGGAGGAGGGGGAGTCGCGACCCAGCGCCCTTTATCCCCCCTTGCGTGGCATCCCCTGGGTGAGCAGGACACCCCGCCAGAGCCTCCCGGCCCGGAGCGGTAGCATCCCTCCAGAGTTCCAGCCTTCCAGGGTTGAGGATCCGTGGCCTGTCCCCATCCCGCAGCCCCCCGAGGTGCTTCATGGGGACACATTTCTGTCTAAAGAGCTCTGGTGAGTGGGGAGAGGGCGGTTCTTCCCTTCACAGCACCAGGTGGTCAGCCCAGCCCCAGCACCTCGCATTGGGAATCTGCAAGGGGAGTTGATGGAGGTGGGTGCTGGTGCCCACTGTAGTGTGCTCTCCATGGCTGAAGGCAGAGCTTTCCCAGAGCAGAAACGCCCCAGGAACCCTGCCAAAGTGACTGCATTGCTGCCCCAGAGCAAGGACAAGAGGCAGAAGCCAGGTGACCTCCTTGGAGCAACAGGACTCAGTGCATCAACCACTCCACTCTCCCAGGAAGGCTCTGGACCAGGTAAAAAGCCAAAAGCACTCCAGGACAGAGGCTCTGAGGGAGCAGGCTGAGCTGCTCTCAACCAGCAGGCTGTGACCAGCATCCACAGGGACGGAGGGTGCCAGCTGCCTTCTCCCCCTAAATTGCCCCTTTTGACACGTGTCCAACCTCCAGGCTGCAATCTGCCAACCAGGGACTCACAGGGTTTTCCCAGGGGTGGAATAACTCGGGAGAAGGTGGTCCCTGGAAGGGCTGGAGATGTTGCCCTCCTGCCACAGCACTTCTGAAACCACCTTCTGGGTGAAGGCAGGAAGTCATCTCCCTGCAGGGACGGCGTCTTCACACAGCCCAACCACAACACAAGGCAGCTCCTCTCAAGGACATGGCTGGGGAGAACGTGGCTCAGGGCAAGGACCAACCTCTGCTGAGGCACCTCCTCAAGCCTCCTGAGCGACGTCAGCCGATGGATGAACACCAGGAAGGGCAAAGGGTGTTCCCCACCCAGTGGAGACAGCAACCAGCAGGAGCAGTCCTGTCTGGTTCCGTGTTTTTTCCAGGATAGGAGGAGGTCAAGCTACTGGTATCACAACTTCTCAGACAGGGCACCATGTTCCAGTTTTGTCATGCAAGGATATTCAGGACAGAGAGAGGAGCTGTCCCACTGCACCCCCAGAATGGTTCCTATCGAAGCTTAGAAGCACAAAGGAGCTCCTGGCAAGCTGCATTCTGAGCTAATTCCCCAAAATACCAGGTCTCACATGCTGGGACATTCTGAGCATCAGAATATCTACCTCAGGAGCGGGTCAGAGGAAGACATCCATGTGCACAAGCATTCCCTGCCTCTGTGCAAGCCAAGGCAGGTCAGGATGTCCAGAGCAACCCCCAGAGGAACCCATCCCAGCAGTGGACTCTGCTTTGTAACATAAGAGGATTTAGTCCCTCTAACCTGGGGGAGGCTCTCAGCCTCTGGAATCCCACCAAGCCTCTGGCAGACTGCAGCAGGCACACAGAGCTGGTCCCTGCCCCTCTCCATCCTGATGCCATTCTCCAGGGTGCTCCCAGGACAGCAGCCCAGGCGCCAGGGATGCCAGCCAGGCCAAGCAGCTGGCAGAGGCAGTGATGTTCCTTGGATCCTTACCAGCCCTGGCTTTTCACTCACAGCCCAGGACACAGCTTTTCCAGCACTGATAAGAGCTCTGGGGTTGAGCCAGAAGTGCTCTGCCCATATTCAGGCTTTGGGTGCTGCCCTGGATGTGTGTCCTCAGGAGCAGCCTGGGATGGGATGTTGCTCTGCATCTCTCCAGAACAAGCTCCAGAAGCCAGCAAGAGGCACCCAGGCAGAGATCCCTGCCCAAGGCAGGAGCCACAGCTCAAATCAAATAAAACCCACTCTGCATAACGGGGCTATTGACTGAGCAAGCACAGAGAAACCAGGTCAGCTGAGCTGATCACAAGGTAACATGGCAGGCTGGGGAAGAAAGGAGGATGACCACAGGGTGACAGCTTCCATCCTCAACAAAGCCTTGCTGAGGTCTCCGAGGAAAAAGTTCAAAAAGCAGTCCACAGTCAAAAAGTTACTTAGGAATCCTTCCTCAGATGGTTATTTCCTCAGATAAGCACAGCAGAAGCTGCTGGTCTCACCTCCCCAGGCCTGCTGCGGCCCTGGGCTGTGCCAGGCAGGGTGGGAGCTGCCACGGAATTCAACACACCACCAGCACATCAAAGACTACCACCTGTAGTCTTTGGACAAATACACCTCTTGGCTGTCTTCCTTTCAGCCCACCATCACTGTTCACACACAGCCATCTCCTCTGAACCCCAGGAGAGCTGCAGCCCCTGCCTCGGGCTCACCCAGCACAAGCTGCTGCAGAGGGAGCACTCACAGCACAAGCAGCCTCCGTCCTGCCCAGAACTCCACAGTTCCACCTCCAGGCAGCTTTTCCTGGATAAACTGAAGGAACACCTTTCAGGACCACAGATAACTGGTCACCAAGCATCCAGTGAAAACCAAATCTAGCAACTCTCGTGCTCATTACAATTTTCTATGTAATTTGCAGCGACTCCTGTACCAACAGTACCGTGTCCTACCCTAACCCTGCAGTGTGCAGCTTCCTGACTGCCCACAGCTGGCTCCCTAAGCTGCTGCCACAGACAACTAAAAAAACCACCACCACCCCACAGAAACACCACCCGAGTGCCAGCCCCGTTTTCCAGACCGAACTGGAAATGACATCCCTGTCAGCTAAACCATCAGCATTTAAACTCGCAGGCAAAACAATCAGAAGCAACAACTCCTCCCGCGTTACTCCGAGCTCACCTGCAAACACCGACGTTCACACTTCACATCCTCTCTCCACTACACACAGGGAATCACTCCCAATTTAAGGGCAGGGACGGGTACCTCTTGTTCAGCAATGGGCAGAGGGAACACCTGCAGCCAGAGAGGAGCCAGTCCCTGCAGCATCCTTGTGGGAAGAGCGGCTTTCCCATCTGGAGATGGCTGCCAGGTCACACCGTTGATGCACACACAAAGAAAGCAGCCAGGGAGCACACGTGTTAATCCATTATTATTTATTAGCTGTACAGCAGTATATTCTCCTTCCCAGCTTTCAAACCCCATTACATATTTTATAACAGTATTTTTTTTTTCCCCGTGTTGGCTTCCTAAAATAATGAAAAATATCACACAGTACAGCTAAGTACAAAAATGCATCAACCTAGAGTCTGATAGCTAAACTGATAGCTCTCTTAAAAGCGATACATAGAAGAAAAATTTGTTTGAAATCAGCAAGACTGAGGCTCTATAAAAAGCTTACATATTTTAACATGTGACATTTTCATATACAGGCATCATTTGTATTTCACATTATTCCTTTTTTTGTCTTTATCAGAGATTCAAAAATTGTAGAATTACTGACCTATTAATAAAATTTCCTGGCCCAGGTTTTGAGGGCTGCAGTGACCCACTTATAAATCACCACTTCTGTCTTAACATAGGATTCATAAACACAAAAATACAACTACAAGATAGAGCAAAGAAAATGTAGTCGTGAAATTAAAACTCAAAAAGAAGGTTAATTATAAATGTTTCAAATTGGTTGGATGGTCACATCCAGAGGGCAGTGGTCAACGGCTCAGAGTCCTGATGGACACCAGTGACAAGTGGTGTCCCTCAGGGGTCCATACTGGGACCAGTTATTTAAAATCTCCATTAATTTCATAGATGAAGGGATTGAGGGCACCCTCAGCAGGTCTGCAGGTGACACGAAGCTGAGTGGTGCTGTTGACACTCCTGAAGGATGGGATGCCATCCAGAGGGACCTGGACAAGCCTGAGAAGTGGGCACATGGGAATCTCGTGAGGCTTAACAAGACCAAGTGCCAGGTGCTGCACCTGGGTCAGGTCAACCCCCCCACCCCGGTATCAATCCAGGCTGGGGGTGACACATCGAGAGCAGCCCTGCTGGGAAGGAGCCGGGTGAGAGGCTGGACACGACCCAGCCACGTGCACTCCCAGCCCAAAAAGCCAACCGTGTCCTGGGCTGGCCCAAAGGCAGCGTGGGCAGCAGGGGAAGGGAGGGGTTCTGCCCCCCCTGCTCTGCTGAGCCCCCCCTGCAGCGCTGGGACCCGGCACAGCAGGGACATGGACCTGTCAGAGCCACTCCAGGGGAGGCCACAAACATGATCAGGGGGCTGGAGCACCTTTCCTAGGAGGGAAGTTGAGGTTGTTCAGCCTGGAGAAGGGAAGGCTCTGGGCTGACCTAACTGTGGCCGTCCAGAACCTGCAGGGGGGAGCCCACAAGAGAGCTGGAGAGCACGGGGGACAGGACAAGGGGGAATGGCTTCAAACTGACAAAGGGAAGGGTTACACTCGATATTAGGAAAAAATTCCTCCCTGTGAGGGCAGTGAGGCACTGCCACAGGCTGCCCAGAGAAGCTGTGGCTGCCCCATCCCTGGAAGCGTTCAGGGCCAGGTTGGACAGGGCTTGGAGGAACCTGGGATAGTGGAAGGTGTCCCTGCCCATGGCAGGGGGGGGTAGAACTAAAATGGACTTTAACATCCCTTCCAACCCAAGCCAGTCTATGATTCTAGGAAATATCAGGTTTTTGTGCTTCAAAACCAGATTTCATGTGTGGGTTTCTCTTGTTCTGCAAGCAATAATCTGGATACATCTCTTCTCTACGTTATCAACAGTTTTTCCAACATTTACACTCTATCAATTCTCTTG